AGCACCCAGTTCAACCAAGTGTACAAAAAAATGGCAACCACTCCAACCTATAACTAGCCATTGCAGTAAGGTGCACATGGAAGGGCAATGCACATCACAAACTAAAGATTTCTCAGCACACTTACCAGCCAGCCTTTAAAACAACCAAAGTGACCTTGTCTAACAATTCATGCTAAAAATAGAGGGCTTTGTTTGCACACATTTGCAAATATATGTGTAAGCCGCAGGGCCCACGTCAAGGCTCCATCCTAACTCTACAATTTTCAGTCTCCAAGGTTGGAGCACACATAGCATTGAATAGATTAGGGCAGGTATACCTGGAGGGAGCCCACCTATTTTGCAAATGTGTGCAAACAAAACCCTCTGTTTTTAACGTGAATTGTTAGACAAGATCATTTTTGTTGTTTTGGAGTCTGGCTGTTAAGTGTGCTCAGAAATCTTTTGTTTGTGATGTGCATTGCCCCTACATGTGCACCTTACTGCAAAGGCTAGTCAGAGGCTAACCACGTTTAGAAGCATTTGTGTTTGGATATTTTTTTTTATCTCTTCCATTTCCAGATGCTGTCCAGAGCCTTTTTTCATCATGAAACATGCATGCAAAGCGTTTTCCCGGTACTCAAATGGGCCTGGTACACCATACTTTGAGGTTTCGCATGAAAGAAAATATGTTAGACACTGCTGCAATAATTTCTGCACAGAAATGAGCTGGAACACATCCAAACACCACAAAAAAAAAAGACAGCTAATCTCAACACATACTGCTCTCTCTGCTTCTGCTCTCTCTATTTCTCTCAAAATGTCTGAAATAGTTAATTTTTTACTATTTTTCAGTGCATTCTGGGCATTTTGGAAGGTCTCCTGAAGTTATCTTTAAAAAACGCTTCTAAACACAAACGGTCATAAACGCGGTATGCAAATGCAGCTAAACAGATGTTTTTTAACCTACGTTTTCCAGCAGTTTCCATCCTTCAAGTGTTTTCCAAACGTCCCGTGTACATGGAGCCTAATACTTTATAAATGCTTCCCTAGAACACCAAAAATGCTCTAGTTGCTATTAAGGTGCAGTTATAGAGCATTACCAATGAAATCAATGGAGGCGGGTGAGAAACATCCATGCCTCATGAAAGTAATGTACTGCCTTATTTTTAACATAAAAAAAAAAAACACAATGCCACCTCTCTTGTGTGAACAGCACTGTGTGGTGCCATTGTAATATTCATGGCAGGTGTTAAAGAGTGGTTATGAGGATTTATAAATGCTGAATAAATGTCACACAAACACAGGGTATTGATAGACAGGTGAATGAAGCCTTATAGTTAGCAGTAGTTAGTCATATCCAACTGGACTTCTTTTATATCAAAGTTTTTTCAGCGCTCATCTAAGCAGTCAGTTCTGAAGGAAGTCAATTGGATCAGCAGTAAAGTGTCTGCTGCTTCCCAAACATGTCCAGTTGAATGTGATTTATTAATTGAATGGAATTTACTGCTGTGATTTCTGGTATGCCATGCCCAAGCTACCTTGAAAATTGCTGTACACAGATGCTCTCCATCCAATCTAACAGAGCTTGAGATATTTTGCAAAGAAGAATGTGCAAAAATGTCACTCTGTAGATGTGCAAAGCTGGTAGAGATCCCCAAAAAGACTTGCAGCTGTAATTGCAGCGAAAGGTGGTTCTACAAAGCATTGACTCCGGGGGGCTGAATACAAATGCACGCACTAAAACATTTTGAAAACCATTAATAATTTTCTTTCCACTTCACAATTATGTGCTACTTTGTGTTGGTCTATCACAGGGGTCGACAACCCATTGATCGTGGTCTACCTGTCAACCAGGAGCAGGTGACAGACCACGAACACATCCTTCTCCCCAATTCCCCCAGCCTCCTCCACTGCTGCTGGCATTCTCTGCACAGCGGAGAGCGGAGGACAGCATGGCTCAGGAGGCGGAGGTGGAGCTGGCTAAATTAACTTCACATATTAACCCGCAAGGTGATTGGTTACTAGGTTGGTCCTAGGCTGGGGGAAAGGGGGCAGAAGACATTGCTAGGGGGGAGAAGCCAGAGGCCACTGTTATGGGGGAAAGGGGGGGGAAGGTGATTTGCAGAGGACACTGCTATGGACAAGGCCACCCCCATAGCAGTATCCTCTACCACCATCCACATCACCCCCCCCCCACAGTAGTGTCCTTTGCCCCCCTCTTTCCCCCATAGTAGTGACCTCTGGCCCCCTTTCCCCCCCAGCATTGTCCTCTGCTCCCCTATCCTCCATAGCAAAGATCTCTAGCCCCCCTTCCCCGCACCAGCAGTGTCCTCATACCCCCCCCCCCCTCCCTCCCATGGACAGGTATTTAAAAAATCTGAACTCCCAGCAAGTGGCTGGGGATTGGTATTTTTCTGCCCCCCACCCTGGTGCCCTAACACAGCTGCCTAAGCTGCCTTATCCTGGCACCCAGCATTTGGATGCTTAGGCAACTGCCTTAGGGCACTAGGGTAGCTGGGTGGTAGAAAAATCCCAATTCCTAGCCACTTGCTGGGAGTTCAGATTTTTAAAATACCTGCCTTCCGATGATCCCTTTTATTGTCCTCCTGGAGCAGCTGTAAGCTAGCATCTCCTCCTCGCCCTCTCACCAGCGTACAGCTGCTGCAGAAGGAAAATCCAGGGGATAGGTTCTAAAAAAAGGCTTCTCCACTGTCCCTCCCGTCCTTGTTCCTCCTTTTTTCTGCTGCCTGGCCCTTTCCCCAAGTGCTCCCCTTTCAATGGGGCTCCTAAAGAAATTGTGAAAAATAATATAAAAATGCAAAAATAAAAACTACTCACACCATCCACTGACCTAACGCCACCAATCTCTGCCCTACTGACACTGTCCACTGCTCTACTGACACCATCCACTGCTCTACTGACTGACACCAGCCTCTGCCCTACTGGCACCATCCACTGCCCTGCTGACTGACACCAACCACTGCTCTACTGACACCATCCACTGCTTTACTGACTGACAACAACCTCTGCTCTACTGACACCATCCACTGCCCTACTGACTGACACTGTCCATTTTTAAGGTAGGCTAAGTTTGTATTTTCACAGTGGCATTTGTTTTATTATATTTTTCTACATTTTACTTGCTATTTAGTTAGGCCTTGCTATTTTTTTTATGCAACTGAACCCCGGTGATCTTTGATCACTTTCATGTTGTTCAGGTAGATCTCCACCTCTCAAAGGTTGCCTACCTCTGGCCTATCACATAAAATCCCAATAAGATATATTTACGTTTTTGGTTGTAACATGACAAAATGTGGGAAATGTCAAGGGGTATGAATACTTTTTCAAGGCCCTGTAGTGACTGCAGGGACCTGGGTTTAGTAATATAAATAAACACTAGTGTGCATGGAGCCTAATGGGTGAAAGGTGTTCTAGTGTTGTCAGCCTGTCACATGTGCCCTGATGGAGACTACAAGGGGTCATGCCAACACACATTGCTCAGGCATGGACCACCATTGTCACTATTGGGAAGCCAGTCCAGGACAATGACATGATGGTACACAGTGCTTTAGAAAGCTAAATGTCATTCTGTGTCGTCACCCAGGCTTCCAATGGAGGCTACAAATGGCTGTGTTAACACACCATACACAAGCATGGCCCTCTGTTGTCACCAATTTGGAATTTTGCCCTGAAAAATGCCATGCAGCTAGAGTGCATAAAGACAGGAAGCAGCTGCAAAGAGGCTTTGGGAGATCAGCAGTATTAAAATGTAACAAAGAATAAAAAAGGTGAAACCGTGAATTGTATGGTAAAATGGCAGTTATTTCTGATGCACAGTGCTTTAGCAAATTAAATGTCATTGAGATAGGGTTTACATCTACTTTCAATGAATCAGGTCCACCTACATATACTGTATGTATATATATATATATGTGTGTGTGTATATTTATAGCATTTCTCATGAGTGTTCCTTTGTCTCTCTTACTCCCTGTCCTTTCCCGCGCTTGTGTCAGGAAAGCGTTATTTCATCGCCTTGTTGCTCAACGCTGTAAGAATAAATAATCATGTGACCCAGGGGCTCCGGGGAGTCTTGTGTTCCCCTGCACCAGGCCTGACATGCAACATGGAAATATTCAGTCTAGGATTGCAGCAGGCTGGTCCCAGAGGAGCCTTTTATATTTCATGCAGGAGAGTGCTGGAGAATGGCGATAAGTCTCTAGCTGATGTATAATGCATGGCCGGGAATGGATTAGATGTCACAGACAGTTGTCGGTCCAGCTGACAGAGCAGCCAGGGGTGACATGATCTATCTTAGGGGACCTCCCTGAGCTCCCCTCAAAGCTCCTCTTCCTCACAAACAAAGGGGACAAAGCAGAACATGGGCAGGACATGAAGTGACATCTGGGGATGAGAGAAGATTAGGAGAGAGGCAGGAGGAGGAGGTGGCAGCAGCAAACCAGTGGAGGATGTACGGCTGTAGGTGCCGCATAGTGTTTAGTTATGTTACTTGTTTCTGCAGTTCTGATACTTTTTACAATTTTAAAGCTAAAGTTTAATCTGCATATATTTTGCCTGGCTCCCCCCTACCCCCTCATCATCAACATGTTGATGGTAATGTTAAATTAAACCTTTCTGTTTTCATTACAAACCTTATTTTAGAACCAATGATATCATTGCTGGCTCTCTGTACTTCTCTATACAATGCAGTTTGATCATGGCTAATGGGAGGGGGCAGCAAAGTGCTGTACATAGCTTCCTGAAAACAGGAATCGCTATGCTAGGATCGTCATGGGCCAGTATTGTTTACATATCATGGGTCATTATTCTTAACATCTTGAGAAATTACTCAGAAATCATGAGAAATTGTGAGACATTATTATTATTACTTTAACGGCTTTAGCGCCGCCCCATAGCAGAAATACTTTTACGGTGCGCAAAATCACAAAATATATATATATATATATATATATATATATATATATATGTGTGATTTTGCATTTCCAGGTAGGGGCCGTGCCTGACTGTGGGGGTGGATGAGCTGTTAGTAAACAAAACAGTTCTCTTCCCTGTCAGCTCCTGCACACTTCTTTGCATGGCTCTGCATAGCACAGTCATACAAAGCAGTGTGCTTACAGTGAAACACAAACACAGAACTTATTGTAAAACAGCACACAGTTAACCCTTTGATTGCCCCAGATGTTAACCCCTTCCTGCCCAGTGCCATTAATACAGTGTTATTGCTTTTTATTAGCACTGATCACTGTATTGATGTCACTGGGGATGTCAGTGACACCAAATCAGTTCCCCCCCCAGTGTCAGAATGTCTCCTGCAATCCCGCAGTCCTGCTATAAGTCACTGATCGCCTACATTACTAGTAAAGATTTTTTTTTTTAAATTCCAGTATATATACCACCATTTCTAAACGCTATAACTTTCATGTAAACCAATTAATTTACACGTATTGAGATTTTTTTCAGCAAGGACATGTAGCAGAATACATTTTGTCCTAAATTTATGACAAAAATTTTGATTTTTTAAAAAAAATTTTTACTGGACATGTTTAAAAGCAAAAAGTCAAAAATATTGTTTTTTTTCTCAAAATTGTCGGTCTTTTCTTTTTTATAGCGCAAAAAATTAAAAACCGCACAGGCGATCAAATACTACCAAAAGAAAGCTCAATTCCTGGGAAAAAGAATGTAATGCAAAAAATGGCCTGGTCAGGAAGGGGGGGGGTAATTCCTCTGGAGGGTAAGTGGTTAATAAGGGACTTTCTGTAGGTGTGTATTTTACTTTTTTTTGGGAACAAATAACTGTGTGCCTCTGACCAATTCTTACCAGTTGATGTCAGGAAGGCAGATATTTGGGGTTCACATTTGAAACCTGAAGATATGTAAACCCCTCCCTCGATTTTATCTATTTTCTGAAAGCAGAGACCCTAGAGAATAAAAAGGTGGTAAAGTCACTTTTTTGGCACACAATATAAGTGCAATGGTTTATCATACCCATATTTCCTGTACAAAATACACTATCGTTATTATTCGTGCACACAAGTGAAATATATTACCAAATGCAAATGTATAAGAAAAAAAATTCAAGAGGAAGTTGCGGTAGGTAAATATATATCAAACATGTCAAGGCTTAGGAAAAGAGAAAGGAAACATCATAAAAAAGAAACAGAGAATAGTGAATACTCCAATGAGTATTTCTTTTTTTATGATGTTTTCTTTCTTTTTTACTGTCACATTGGTCATCATTGATTATAACACATTTTTATTAGCGCTGCACATTGATATTATAATGTTTTGTTTTGGTGGAGACAGAGGATTTGCCATGTTGTGCTAGCTGCTTTACTTTTTCCTTTTTTGTCTTGCGCTCACCATTTATTCTTCAATGTCAAGGCTAATGCAGGCCATAGACGGGTCGTTTATCGGCCGAATTTTCGTCCGCACGAAAAATTGGCCGATATTCATGCAGTTAATGGGGCCAGCCTGTTGGCCATTTTTCGTGGATCTTCACATTTATTTTTATTGGTCATGCTGGAAAATCCACGAAAAATGGCTGTTTTTCATGGACATTGGTGGCAGCATCGGCAACGGGGCCGACCGATTTTTTGTTTATCGCCCGACAATTCGGCCGATAAACGGCCCGTCTACGACCTGCATTAGAATTGGGTAAACCCATGAAGGAACTAGCATTTCTAGTTGTGGCCATCTTGAGTAAGGGCAGATGATTCATGTAGCATTTACTATACTTCCTGAATCCATCTACCTTTAGCTCAGGTATGCAAGCAGGAGGGTGTGCTTAACTGAGAAAACCCCTCCTCCCCTCCTGAAGACTCCTGGGATGTATGACATCATTTGCCTAGGCTTGGAATCCAGGAAGTAACTGAAGAAAAGTAAAGAAAAAAAAAGTTTTAAAACAAGTAAAAATTATATTCTTTCCTTTATATTTTTTTATTCTATAATATTTTTATTGAAGATAAATGGCAAATACATAGACATAAAGTAGATTCAGTGAGCAATGTCAAATGGGACAATTATAAGGTTACAAGAATAGATGCAACAAATGCATTCATATTTGGACAATCCAGAACAGTAGTCAGGCAATATGTAGTGACAAGAGAAAAACAGGGGTTCATCACTTAAAGCCTAGACCATTTCACAATATTTGAACCATTAAAAGAGAAGTATGGTTTTTTTTTATTTTTTGATCCAATAGATGAGAACTGAGCGATCAAAACACCACTGATTGCTCAGTTCTTCCTACCACTCTGAGCAGAGAGTGGTGACTGTCAGTCAGAATGCTGAGCTGTGGAGGGGGAGAGAGTGGCTGGCTCAGGCTCTCCACGGATCGCTGAGAGGCTGAGCCAGGTACTGGTTCAAGCATCAGTGTGGATCCTGACTGTAAAGTCGGGATCTGTCCCAAGCCTGGACTGGATGAGTGATGTCAGCTGACAGCAGATTTTAGTCTCGTTGTTGGTTGAAAACGGGTCACAGGAGTGCAGAACGAACTTTTTGCGCAGTTTTGGCTGTACTTCTCATTTAAGGGACATGTAAGCATCCTAACAATCAAACTGCAGACATAAAGCAATAAAAGGTAAAAGATCCTATACATGGAGAGTGGCAGAGTAAGAAAAATGGTCAATAGGCCCATGATGAGAACCCTCGCAGATCACTTCTTAGCTGCAATTAGACCCAAATAAAGTTGTAATGGCATTACAGGAAAGAGGAAGAGAAGAATCAAAGGATATACTTCCCTATCTATTTACTAATGCTAGCAGCATACGGACGTGATGGCATTTTGCTGCAACAGGTTTTCTTTAATGAGAGAGGCCCCTGATGTGTCGCCTGCAATCCACTGAAGTAAATGGAATGCAGATCAAACTCTATCAGCTTCTTTTCAGACCAGAGCAAACAGGGAAAATGACAGAGGAAACTGGAAGTTATGAAATCCTTGTCACTTTCCCGGTTCTTACTAACAAGGGGGGATAATTAATAAGACGTTCACTAGTCTCCCTCCCCTCTACCAGCCATACCATTCCCCGGCTTTTCCAGGTGAGACAGGAAACATGGCAGGGAAAGGGGTCATGCAGGGGAGGACCTGATCTGGAGGTCCATGTAAGTGACTGGCCAGCACAGACTAAGCTCCATTGGCTTCTCCACTAGCCACAGCAGCCAGGTATGGTTTAGAAAGGAAAAAGGGGGGGGCGGTTCTGCCAATTAACTTCTTGCCGACCGCGCATAGCCGAATGACGGCTTCACCGCGGCCGGCCAGTTCTGAGTGGACGTCATATGACGTCCTCCCAGAACGCGCTCTCCTGCGCGCCCCAGGGGGCGCGCACCCGGCGATCTCCGTGATCGCTGTGTCCTACGGACACAGCTGATCACGTGATGTGGTGAAAGGCCGATCCCACCGGCCTTTTACCACGTGATCAGCGGTGTCCAATGAAACGCTGATCACAGGGAAATGCAAGTGCCGGTTCTCGGCTGCACTTTCCTCACGCTGTCAGATCGTGAGGAAAGTACTGCCGAGAACCGGCAGTTGTCAGAGCGGGGATCGGCACCGATCATCAGGGCACTGATGATCAGTGCCCTGATGATCAGTGCCCAGCAGTGACACCCGCAAGTTCCGCCCAGCAGTGCGCCCACTAGCCCCGCCCACCCGTTCCCAGCAGTGCCCCCACCTGTGCCCAGCAGTGCCCCCACCTGTGCCCAGCAGTGCCCCCACCTGTGCCACTCTGCAGTGCCACCTACCTGTGCCCAGAAGTGCCACCTACATGTGCCCAGCAGTGCCACCCACCTGTGCCCACCCACCAGTGCCACCCACCTGTGCCCACCAGTGCCACCCACCTGTGCCCACCCACCAGTGCTGCCCACCAGTGCCACCCACCAGTGCAGCCCAGCAGTGCTGCCAGTCAGTGCCACCAGTCAGTGCCCAGGGGTTGTGCCAGTCAGTGCCGCCAGTCAGTGCCCAGAAGTGATGCCAGTCAGTGCCGTCTATCAGTACCCATCATCAGTGTCACCTATCAGTGCCGCCTATCAGTGCTGCATATCAGTGCCGCCTATCCGTGCCACCTCATTAGTACTGCCTATCAGTGCCCTTTAGTGCTGCCTATCAGTGCCCATCAGTGCCGCCTATCAGTGCCCATCAGTGCCGCCTCATCAACGCAAATCAGTGAAGGAGAAAAAATACCTGTTTGAAAAATTTTATAAAAGAAACAAATAAACTTTTTTTTTTTTTTTCAAATTTTTTGCACTTTTTTTAATTTATAGCGCAAAAAGTAAAGCGCCCAGTGGCGATTAAATACCATCAAAAGAAAGCTCTATTTGTGAGAAAAAAATGATCAAAATTTCATATGGGTACAATGTTGCATGACCGTCCAATTGTCAATCAAAGTGCGGCAGCGCTGAAAGCTGAAAATTGGCCTGGTAAGGAAGGGGGTATAAGTGCCTGGTAGGCAAGTGGTTAAAAGGTGAATTGCAGAAAGTTAAAAAACAAACATACATGCTTACCTACCTGCTGCAGCATTGGTCTGATGCTTGAAACTGTCCCCTGCCAGCTCTATGCCTGTGAACTGAGCGATCAACTGACTGCTGATCACTCAGTTCTTTGGTCTGCTCTGAGCAGAGAGTGGTGAATGTCAGTCACCAGCTCTCTGCTCTGCCCCTCCATAATTCATTGGAGCTCCGGGCTGGAGAGGGGCTGACTCAGGCTGTCACTGGTGAACTGAGAAGCTGAACTTGTAAGTCGTCGGGGTGGATCCTGACATTATTGTTGGGAGTCTGGAATGGTTCAGTGAGGTAAGCTGACAGTGGGCTTTAATACATGATACAGATGTATTTTACGGGCAGGTTTGGGGCATCCCCCAAATATGTTTTTTTAAATGTTCCTTTGTGTGAAATCCCTGGTGTTCTTGCCAGTCCCTCGGCTTTCCTATTGCAAACTGACCACACTAGGCATAAGAGCACAGCGTGGTTCTCTATCTGTGCTGAGAACTTAACCTGTCCCAATGATCAGTCTTCTACTGACTTGCTTCCCCCCCCCGCACAGCCATTCACTGGCAAGACCAGTGTGCTGCTGTCTCTACTCCCCCAGCTCTCTGAGCTCCTTATGCAGCTGAGAAGAAAGGGAATGAGATCACTTATAAAAAAAGGGAGGAACTGTATTTATATTTTTTTTATATGTATACATAAATGGTTTGCTTTTCAGTTCTATTTTAAACTGAATGGGTGCTTTACAAGGTGAGGGTTTATATATACAGTTGTGCTCAAAAGTTTGCATACCCTGGCAGAAAACATGAACATTTGGCATTGATATTGAAAATATGACGGATCATGGCAAAAAACTGTTTTTATTTAA